CTGTGAGCAGCAGGCAGACTTATTTTTAAGAAGTTAATCAATAAAGGGTTCCATGTTCCAATTTGAGATCTCTTTAGACAGAGGTAAAGCATCAAGGCAGAAGTGCCAGTGATGGATCTGATGAAAAGGTGAATCCGGTGTTTGAAATTATCTGTGGAAAGATCACTGTTAGCTGGGAGCTGAGGTAGCCAGGCTGGGTGCCTTACAAACAACAGAAATCTGGAGATGGGAGTGTAGCTCAGTGGTTGGTAATGTGCTTAGCATGTGCAAGGACTTGGGTTCAATCCCCAGCACCAGACTCAGACAGAACCACCAGAAATTTATTCTCTCACAGTTCTGGAGAGTGGAAGTCCAAGTCTGAGGTGCCGCAGGGTTGGTTTCTAGCGATGGCTCTCTCCTTGGGTTGTACACTGCTTCCTTCCTGCTCTGTCCTTTACTGACGGTTCCTCTGCGCCTGTGCGGAGAGAAAGAGAGCCCTCCAGTGTCACTTTTTATAAGGACAGCAGTCCTGTTGGGTTAGTGCCCCACCCTTGTGACCCCCGTAGCCCTCATTACCTCTTCACAGGCCCTGACTGTAAGTGTAACCCGCCACACTGAGGGATGGACCGTAACAGATGCAAGGAGAGGGACATGGGGATCTCTGGCTCCCCTTTCTTCCTGATGCCACCTCTCTGAGGTGCCCATGTTCCTCTGTGGTTTTTAAAGGATCTTTCCAATTCATTTTCCCTGTCCTAGGGAGTCTTTTTTTTTTTTTTTTGTCTTTTTCCTTTTCATCGGTACCAGGGATCGAACTCACGACTGCCTGCTTGCAGGGCAGGCGCTTATGCCACTGAGCTAAATCCCCAGCCCCCCATTTTCCCTGTCCCAGGGAGTCTTTAGTCAGTGTCTGAGTTACTTTCTCATCACTGAGACACAGTACCTGACACCAGAAGTTTAAAGGAGGAAAGGTTTACTTTGGCTCACAGTTTACAGAGATTTCAGTCTGTAATCGACTGACTCAGGGGCACAGCAGAGCTGGGCTGCTCATGTCTGGCAGCGGAGGGGAGATCAGGTGTGGAAGGAGGTAGACAGAGCCTCAGCCTGCCCCGGGGAGCTCCCTCTGCCAACCAGGCTCCACCACCCAAATCACATCTAGTGTAGACAAGGCAGCCGGTGAGCATCCCGTCCGCAGATCTGATTAGCTCGGCGAAGCCCTCCTGTGGGCACACACGGTTTGGGGAGAGACATTTAGATGCAAACCATGAAAGTTGGTGTTTCTCGTCCGCCTCCTGATGTCTGCTCTGAAGAGTCCAGGTCAGTATTTTTGGTGAATTGGCCCACTTCAGATGTCCCCATCCTCCAGAGGGATCGGAGTGGCGAAGCAGCGGCTGTCTCTGTGTGGGAATCTCCCCTTCCATGACCTGTTTCCAGCTGTCCTGAGCCCTAAGGGTCCAGGGCAGGATTTTATATGTAAATAAGGGCTCTGAAAATGTCACTTTCTTTTCCCTTTTTCCTTAGCGCCACCAGCCTGCCAGCCCTAACTTTCTGTCTTGTTAATGGCTTACCTCTGGCACTAATAGCTCTTTAATAATATTGGAGCCACATTAGCAAGATGAGACAGCAAACTGTGCTCAGCTGGCATCAGAAGACCCAGACCAAGTGTACCCAAGTCACGGAACTCTCATGACTTGCTGTGTCTGTGCCCTGCAGAAAATAAACTTATGGCTATAAATTGTGACCAGTGAGAAAAGGTAAATGTGATATCGTATGTAATCACTGAGATTTATCTCCCATCTTACTGTAATACATACTCAAAAGACTTCAGTCAGGTCTTGAGGAGTTCTCCAAAGCCGCCTGATGAACCTAAATCATTCATTTCCCATGCCCAAGTTATAATCCTCTCATTTAAAAAACTCTAAAGTTGCAGACCTCCAGTTCCTCCATATTCCTAAACTGTCTTCTGTGCACTGTGGTTACTGTGAGGCTTCTACACTCTGGCTTTTTGGGTTAAAATACAGCTCTGTCTCTTAGTAGTTCTATGACGCGTTTTGTTTTGTTTTGTTTTTTTAAGTTTAGATTAGGAGATTTGATTTGATCTGGTCTGGTTTTGAGACAGTGTCTCACTATGCAGTTCAGGCTGACCTTGAACTCGTAGCAATCCTCCTGCCTCAGCCTTCCGAGTGCTGGAGTTACAGGCATGTGCCACCACCACTAACTTGTTTTGTTTCTTTAACTGGAAACTAAAGGTATGGACATTATCTACCCTGTGGTGGGAGACCTGTGAGGAATGAGTGGGTTAGGACACATACAGCCCTCCGGGCAGCATTTGACACACAGAAAGCACCCAGGACTTGTCACTGTTCTGCTCGTCTGCTCAGCGGAGATGGAAGTGTGTGGCTATCATTCCCACGGGTTATTTAACGATTCAGCCCAATTCTAGGCTGTTGATGAACTGTGTTTAACTTTGCTCACCAAGCAGTGCCCATGGTGGAAGCCAGCAGAGATGCACACCGCATTCCCTGTTAGGTCCAGTTACTTCAGTCTGCTCCGTACACAGCCTTGGGGCTCAGTGTGACACGGTGAGCACGGGGAGAGGTCAGAGGGCAGCACAGGTGAGATCTTATGATTTATGAGCATCTGGGTGAGGAATGGAGACAAAATTCTGGAAAATAGCCTGAGGACAGGGAGGGGAAGGCTTCTTGGCTCCAAAGAAAAGTCTGACATTTCTAGTCCAGCTTGGGGCGGTTAAGGGAGATGATTCTGCAAGACCGGGTAAGCTGGAGTCAGGAACAAGAGCTGTGCAGCAGAGGGCTCAAAGCCCGGTGCCAGGGGCCTCCAACTGGGGGTGGAGAAAGACACGTCTTCCCTTAGGTCTCAGAATGAAGCAGGCCGGAGATCGGCTGTTAGCAGGTAGCTAGACAAACGTATGAAACTTTCTCTTGTTTCGACTGCTATAAGTCCATATTTGTTATAAGTCTGTTTTGTGTTATGAAAGAGACAAGTTGAATAAACAGACTATTTTTGTTCTGAGCTGCGGCTTGGAAAGGCCCTCCGAATCCTGAACTAGGAGCCCAGTTGGTTCTGAGTGTCTGTCGCTCCCTCCTCCACCACACGGGGGTGACACACCTAAGCTGCAGGGGTGGGTGGGTCCCCAGAGCCAGGAGCACCAAAGCCCACCGAGGGTGCCTTGACTGGGACTGTGTCAATGATTTTTAAGATGCTTTTGCTCTACCCTTGCAGGTTTCATGGGTTTAGGATTTTGTTTTTGTTTTTGTTTTTTATGTGTGTGTTTTTGTTTTTGCTTTTGTTCTTGTTTTTTATATGTGTGCTTTTGTTTTTGCTTTTGTTCTTGTTTTGTTTTGTTTTGTTTTTGCCATGTAAAGGTTTACCTCGTGGGCGGGGTAGCACCCATCATTGCAGACCAGTCCTGTACCAGCTGGGGTCCTGGTGCCTCTGCCCCCCAACTCTTCATGGCTCCTTCCCAGACTCTAGTTCTGGTCTGGTTCATTGGCAGCACCACATCCAATACTCAAGAACACATAGACACATGAGAAAAACAATCCCTCTTCCGCTTAGTTCAGCTGAGGAAAGGCTGGAGGAATTCAAAAAGAACTTTTCCTTGGAAACAGCAGAAAAATATACACAAAAGCATAAATAAATGGATAAATTCATGGAGCCTGAAGTCCAAGACTCAAGGATGAAACGGCAAGAAAGCCTGGCTAGCGCGGCTTGCAGGCCAGCCAAAGTCTGGTTTCTTCACCATCTCGGGCTCTAAGACCCCTGTAGAAGTTTTTAAAAGATAGTCCAATTTTTATTCCAAGACACATTGGATTTATAATTTATAACATATGTATTCCAAAGAGGACATGGGGGAGCTTATAATAAAAGATGTGTATACATAAAAAATCTCAGAGCTGTTAGAGAGTAGAAAATGTTTAAATGTAGAAAAGAGCATAAAGAGAATGTATCAGATTCCTGAGCTAATACCATGTTTGAGGATCAAATTTAGCATCAAGAATCCAACACAAAGGGAGATATGATGTGTCACACAATGATAATATCTAACAGAAAAGGAGAGAAAAAATTCTTTAAGAAAAGCAAGCCCTTTCTTGGTCCTGAATACAGCAAATGAAGCATCTGCCCCACGGTGACCTTACAAAGTGCACGGGAATCCTCTCGGTTTGGGTGACAGCAGTGTTTGTTTGCCTCTGTTCTACTTCTGCATCTGGTGGCGTACTCATTTCTTCTCAGAATCTATTTCCGTGTTCACCATGGTTGCCCAGTGTTCTTTTTTCTGAAGCTAATCAAAGGGAGAGAAAGTTTCTGCGTAAGTAAGACGCTGTACAGGAGCGGCCTCCTGGGCCACAGAATTACCGACCTAACGCAGGTTGGGCTGCTCTGGTCTGGTTATCAACGGTGGCTTCTCCGCATTTTCCTTCCCAAATGGCAGCTTCGTTGGGGTTTTCATCTGTGGGCGTGTATTAGATGTGTCAGAGCAACTAAAAAGCTTATTATAATATGGGTTGAAAAGAATGCCCGTAAACCAGATGCTGCTGGGGTACAGAGCCCTGCTGGACAGAAGGAAGTTTGCCTGAACCACCCTCCAGTGCTTTCAGTGTTGGCCCTCCGAGAGGCCCCCATATGTAATGAATACCGCCTAACTCAGTGTGCATCTGGTTTGGAACCTAACCAGAGAGTCCTCTTGTAAATTAGCAACTCAGCCTAAAGGAACTGCAGTAGCCAACCCCTCAGCCAATCCCGTATTACATCCAAACAAAGTGAGTGCCGGGCTGTGCCAATCAGGTGGTCTCTGTATGGCACTTTTTGGCTCTCTCTTTGTGGAAGCTGCTCACCCCATTGGAAGGAAGGCATTCAGAAACGTCTCTGGTATAGAGTGTGCCTAGTTCTAGAACTTTTTTCTTGCTCAAGTAAACTGTTTATTTGACCTAGGAAAGCTAAGACACAGAAAATGCTTTCAAAATTCTGGGCATAAAGTGCTTCCCACTGAAATGCTGTAAGTAGTGAACTGTTTTCTTTTAACAGGTCTCGGCTTTTTCATCCGTATATGGTAGCACGCTGTGATGTGAGATTTTTCTGTCTTTGGGAAGGGAATTAATACAGTTTTGGTGGTTTGGGAGAACAGGCGAGCGTGCTGTCAGATTTCTGAGGTGGCGCACTGTGACGGGCACGTCCCCTCTTTCCTCGCACCGTGCTGCCTGTGTCCAGGACTTTGCTCAGGTCTGCTCTTACGACTTTGTGTCCCCGCGCTCCTTTATTAGGTCCTTCTCTCTAACTTCTTTCTTTTTAGGTTTACTCCCTTATCATGACGGAGCACATCCTCTCCTAGCTTTTTGAGAAATAATTCCTGAGAAGTAAGTTTCTTGAGGTACGGCTCATAAGAACATGTCCTGTTGCACCCCTTAGAGCTCACTACTTACAGCGTTTCAGTGGGAAGCACTTTATGCCCAGAATTTTGAAAGCATTTTCTGTGTCCTAGCTTTCATATTGATGTTGAGGACTCCAGGCCATTCTGCTTCCTCATATATGCCCTTTAGCCCTATGATTGGAAATTTCACCCTGAATTCCTTGAATAATTTTTTTTCTTTCACTCCTGTAACTGCATTGGGTGCTTTGTGCCTTATTCATTCTGGAAATTAATGCTCTTCAGTTCTGAAAATTCTTAGGGTCCTGCTAATTCCTTTGTGTGCTGCCCGCTCTTTGTTTTTTTGTTTGTTTGTTTGTCTTTCTTTCTTTCTTTCTTTCTTTCTTTCTTTCTTTCTTTCTTTCTTTCTTTCTTTCTTTCTGCTGCACCTATTTGTTTGATGTGAGTGTTCTGGTTTAACCCTCCAATTCTCATGTTTTCTCTCCTGTCTTCATTTCTCTGTCTTTTGATTCACTTCTGTAACAGTTAAACTGCATCTTACAATCCTTCTATTGGATTTTTCCAATTTCTGTGTCTTATTTTTCATTCATTCTTGAGTTTTCTGATTTTCAGATGTGATTCTGGTCTAGTTTCATAGACAGAAAAAATTTTCCTGTCTCTGAAAATATAAATTATTATTTTTTTGAAATTTCCCTTTGTTTTCCGCAATGCGTCTTTTCATTGAATTTCGCGGGCTAGTTTTGTAGTGTTTTATTTCTTCTTGTTGTTACTGGTTTTGTTTCTCTGCTTTGCCAACTATCTAGCGCTGCTTGGCTACCCAAATGTTTAAGAACAAAGCACCAAAAAGTATTTGAATGTTTCTCAGGCATAGACAGGGTTAATTGGGAATGTCACAGGATTATGCAGTAAGGAAGGACCTGCTCATTTTGTTTGGGATTCCACATGTTCCCGTCTTGGGCGTTTTCTTTTCGGTGAGTCCACTTCGGCCCGGTGGACTGTCGTCTCTACCTCCAGGTGAGTGGAACTTCAGCCGTTAGTGTCTGGGAACCTGGCCGGGGAAGGGGTAGCCAGCCCGCTGTTCTGTATGAAAACTTTTATTTATTTAGTCACCTGTCAACCTTACAAGCTCTGCTTTACCCCTGTGTCTCTTGTTCCCAGGTTTTGAGCCCCTGTGGTCCAGAGGCTCATGTGAATTCGCCTGAGAACACAGAGCAGAGGTAGTTTGCTTGTTGGGAAGTGGTCAAGGGGATTTAGTGGGTAGCTCTGCTCCTCTTGTGTCTTGTGCCCTGGCCACAGCTTCTAGCTCCCACTGTGAGTGCCCCTGCCTCCCACCCCTCAGCCTTGTGGAGACTGAGTGCACCAATCCCTTCCTCTTCTGGATTCCCAGCCTCCCCCCAGTCAGTTGTTGAGGTCTCACTGTCTTCTGAAAGCCATCAATCACTCACCCATTTATCATCCGTTTTCCAGTTTTTGTTGCTCTATCTGGTTGTTGTCTTCCGTCCTGTCCATGTCCCAGTAGATGTCACCATCTCTCCCTCTCCCCTTCAGGTAGTGTTGGGGTGGGGATGCTCTATGCCCCTGCAGTCCTGTGGGGAAGGTGGTGTTACTGCCCTGTCGCGGACAAGGCCCGAGGTCCCATCTGCGGGTTACTTGGCTGAAGATGGCAGACTCACAGCTGAACCCAGACACACTTCTGAAACCCACCCACCCCTCCTGCCACATCACACTTTCTCTGATTCCCTGGAGTTGCTCAGGGACTCCTTCTTGCCACACCGAACAGAATTAATCAAGACTGCCTTCCGCACCCAATCCCATGGGGCCATGTAGTTCAGCTAGCAGAGGGCTTTTTCTTACCTTTTATTTAAGACTCACCCTCTGCAGCTGCCGTGGACAGCTTGGAGTTGTCTAAAGATTGAAGACAAGAACCAAAGTCATGAGCTTACAAGCTATCAAACTTGAAAGATGTATGGAGGTGAAGTCCCACTGCCAAACCGCCCCACCAAACCTTTTCAAAGTGAGTTTTCTTTCCAACATGAAAAAGGACCGTTTATGCTACACATGCATAAAATTGTCAGCTCTGGCTTGTTCGTGACAGTATGTTTTTTGTACCTGCCCACTCCAACGTAGTAGACAGGATCGTCTTCCAAAGCCAAAGTAATCGTGGGGCGGGGGGGGGGGGGGCGCTGATGTTTAGAAGTCAAGGATCGGTGTGTGTGTGTGGGCTGAACCGTGCGCCTTTCTTCCTCTTTTGGAGAAGAATTCTGTGCTAACAGTTAACAAACTTGTTTTCATACTGTATCTGTACACTGCAGATTTGGCCCATGTGGGCGGGGTTCGAAATCAAGGCAGGCAAACTGCCCTGTGCTTTTGGAGTTCAAGCGTTTGGAAGAAGCACTGACTGACTTCACAGGGAAGCAGTCAAGTGCACTTTTTCATCGCACTTGTGACCTTGCCCTGTTTTTTAGCCTTCCCCGTCTGATATTTCCCTTGGCGTTTCCAAAGAGGTCCATATAGTCGTTGGCAGGTGTGAAGCGCCCTAACTTGGGGGCTCCAGGATTCCTCTGTTACAGCTTTTCAGAAGGATTTAAATTAGTCACTGTCGAGGGGAAAAAGTGAAGGTATTGTTTGTCTTTAAAGTGTTTGTTTTCCTAAGCACAAGTGCCTTAGCAACTGTATGTGAAGACAGGTTTATTTCAGCAGAATTTGTAGTAAACAATGTGTCATTTACAACCAACCAGTGGATGGCACATGCAAGAATCTCACTTGCAGTTTCCAGAGATGGTGTTAGCAGACCGTAACCATTCCAAATGCTGTCTCCACATTCTGTGGTCACTGTTTCAGACTGTCAAGCTTGCATGCATAGACCTGTACTGTGTGCATATATGTGTAAACCTATCGTGTTCCATGATGCTCTGGGCTTGACCCTGGTTCTGGGGGCAGACCTAGAGACGGAAATCCAGGTAGCTCAGATCAGGAACTGCTACAGCTTAAGCCAGCAAGTAATGTGGGCCCCAGATACACAGGAATATCCCCAATATACCTCCTTTTCTTTACCATCACTTCTTTGGACTTCTCCATTACTGTCTCTAGAATCTAGATATTTCGTAGTCAGCATGGCCAGAATAGTTCTGTGGCTCCTGGGAACCAAAGGCAACATTCCTGTTAACTCGATGCTGCCTGAGATATTTATTAAAAATGCACATTCCCAGGCTGGGGATGTAGCTCAGTGATAGGGAGCTTGCCTAGCATTCTGGAAGCCCTGGGTTCAATTCACAGCACAAAAAAACAAAAAATTGGAAATTCCCAAGTCCAACATAGGCTTTCTGGACCTTGGAACCTGGGGAATCTGCTTTTCCTTCAAGCTCTTGATTAATAAGCGAATCATTTTATCCAGATCCATATTTTCCCAATTCCTTTAATGATAAGCATCACATAATATTTTTTTCTAAAAATACAAATTCCTGGGCCCTGTCCTGGAACCACTGAATCAAAATCTCCAGGACTGAGGCCTGGGAAGCTGAGAGAATGGAACCTAAGATTCCAGAACATTTAAGATGCTGAGGCCAAGGTTGCCTGCTGGGAACCATCAGAGGAAATAAACCGAGCCTCACCCATGACTTTGAAAGACTTTGCATCTTTAATTAAAACTGAAGGAGAGACTGAGAAGGATCTTTGGGCCCCAACCAAGTTGAATCAGAAATACTTCTAGGTTAATTTTACTTGTTTGGCTGTTACCTTTCTAAGAATTGTAGGAGCTTCTTCATCCTGCCAAGTTGCAGTGTTGATAATAAAGTCAGCTATTATTCTAACTGGTTCAAACATCTAGAGGCAACACTGCATTTATTTTCTTCTCACTGATTATTTCAAAGATTATTCTTCATTTGCCTTGACTTTTCAAAAGCAAGATTAGCTTAATAGGCTTTTAAGAAAAAATTCTTTAAACAACTGTCATTTCTCATATCTTCTGAAGTTTTCTACTTCATCTGTATATAAACTATGAGCTTCTGAGGTTCAAAAAAATATGTATTGTTTATCTCTGAATTCCCAAGGTACAGATCAGAGCGTGGTGCATTAAATGAATGCTGCGTGGAAAATATTTTATTTTGTTTGGGAGTTTATTTTCTTTAGCTAAGAATATCAGAGTTAGCTCAAGGCCAGCATCAACTGCATAGCAAGACCCTGCCTAAAATAAAAATAAAAAAGGAAACTTTCTGGACATGGTGACACATGCCTATAATTCCAGCTCTCAGGAGGCTGAGGCAGGATGATCGCCATCAGTTCAAGGCCAGCCTGGACTACATGGTAAGGCCACGTTTCACAAGATATCAGAGTTCATCTTAACCTTTTTTGTTTATTTGTTTTGGTGAGCCTTTTTCTATGTGGCTTGAGTATCGGTTTGCTAATTTGAAGATTTGTGAAAGGCAAAATGCTGATTTAAAAAAAGAAAAACATAAAACCGACAGACAAACCACACAATTGTACATACCTGTAAAGAGCTGTCCGGATCCCTTATATCCTGTGGAGGAAATTTCATTGCATAAATGGGTTCCTATTAGTTGATGGAAAAATTAAGTTAACTGGAATCCCCAGTTCTCCGATCGTGCCAGTTAACTGAGGTATTAGTGTCCTGTTTAAACTCTCTGAGCTATTAAATTAAATGGTCGTGACATGAAACTTCAGAAAAGTCTTATTGTCGTCTAGAAAGATTGTGTACAGGTGTTGCTAGCCTACGTTAGAATAAGAAAGGCTTCAGTATTCTCAAAAATCATTTCCTCTTCTGAGGAAATGCTCCGTAGTAAAATAACCTTTCCACTTCTGTAATTGCTGGCTTTCAGCTTCAAAAGAAAATCCTCAAATAGTATTCAGGTTACAGTTTCCATCAGACTTTTCTGAAGACTAGAGTGAACTTGTGTTTGATTAGTAAAATAATTCCAAAAAAATAAAAAGAACCGTAATTGAATCCATAGAGACGCAGGCAAGTTTGGGAAACATTTAGTGGTTTAATCAATTGTTTTAGTTTAAGAAGAGGCATACTGCAGAGGGCTGGGGCAGAGCACTCCCCTAGCATGTGTCATGACCCTTGGTTCCATTCCCGGCACAGCCAAGAAAAAGCATACAGTTGGTGCTTATGAAATGAATATCATTCCATCAACTCCAGAAACTGTGAGTGCTTTTGGACAAAAATACTAGGACTTGAACCCAGGGCCTTTGTACTGAGCAATATTTTTCTTCTTATTTATATTTATTTTTTTATTCTTTATATTTTTATATAAAGATTCTTTATATTTTTCTATTTTAAGACAGGGTCCCACTGAATTGCTAAGTTTCCTACCCTGAGCTTGAACCTGCTGCCTCAGCTTTCCAGAATGCTGGGATTAAAAGCCCACACCCTCCCCTAACTGGAAGTCCTTCTTTTTTTGAGACAGGGTCTTGCTGTGTAATGCAGGCTGACCTTGAATCACTTATGGAGCCCAGGATGGCCTTGAACTCATGGCGCTCCTCCTGGCTCAGCCTCCTGAGCCCTGGGATTTCAGGCAGGCACCACCATGCCCAGCTGGCAGTACTCCTCTTAAGTTTATGTTTTAAGACTAGTGATATGAAAACTTTAAAAATTCTGTTCTTTCTTTTTTAAATTTTATCAGTGCTAGCTTTAAATTTTTTATTAGTATATGTTTATAATACACAGTGATTACATGCATTGTGGGAACTGGCACATGTATATAATGCATCCCAGTTCTTTTTCCAGCCCCTTCCTTTATCTCTTGGTCCCCTTTCCATTTGTAAAAGATGTAGTCTGTTCCAAAAAGAATAATGTGAAATATTTATGGAAAGGGAAAAAAAGTTCTTGCATTTAAGAAATATAATTTTTCCCCTGGAGCGCTGGGGACCCAACTCAGGGCCTTGCACAGGTTTGACAAGGGCTCTGCCGCTGAGCTGCACACTCAGCCCCGGGAAAGGGGTGCCTGGTCATCCCCCGGCTTTAGTCAGAGTGAAGGAGGTTCAGATTGTACTGTGAGCCATGCTGTACGTTTAATCCCAGAGATTCTTTTAGGCACTAACCACGTGGAGTCACCACACTTAGGGTTCTGTAGTTCCAAGTGGTCCATTTTTCCTCCTGAGGGTACCCGTCAGGTTTCCCAGACTCCTTCATCCCCTTTAATGCACACATAATCTCGCTTGCTTCATGAATTTCCACCTAACCTAGCTTGGTGCTTTAGATACCCATTTGCTGGAAGACGGATGTGTGCATTCCTTGGGAGCGGGAGGGACAGAAAAGAGAAGAGAAAGAATGTATATATATACCCATAAACTGCTCTCTAATTTCATTATTCAAATTTGTAAGTTTATTTCTTGCCTGGATAATTTTTCTCAATTTTTCATTCAGGTGCACTGCCACCAGATATGAGGTGAATTCCATTTTCTTCCGTGTATTTGGGCAGGGGAGGAGCTCACACAGACCAAAAGGCTCTCTTCTTTTCACTGATTTTGTTGTGCGGTGATTGTTCAGTGATAAATATTTAAGTCTAAATTGGAAGATGATATGGATCATTATAAGTGAAGAAAATGGACGTCTGGAGACACTAATTGTGTGATCTCGCCACTGCTGTACTAAAATATCTTAGAAAGTTGACTTAGCAGGAGAAAAATTTATTTTGGCCCATGGTCTCCGAAGTTCCAGTGCGTGGCTATTAGCTTTCATATATTTGGGTCTGTAGTGAGGCAGAGCGTCATGGCAGAGGGGTCATCAGGAAGCAGAGAGAAGAGGGAAGGGGACCGGACCTCAGTGTCCCCTTCAAGGTCACACTCCCAGTGACCTAACTTCCTTCCCCTGGTCCTTCCTCTCAAACGGTTCACCACCTCCCTCAATGTCATCAGCAGGGGACCAAGACTTCAACATGTGAGCCTTTAGGGGACATTTAAGATCTAAGCCATGGGCACTTCTGTTGAAAACTTTATCATGACTTCAGCCGTGTTTGAAACAATACCATAAATGAAGGAATGCATTGTAGGATGTCAAAGAAGGAAGGATTCTAATAAAATATTATCAGCTTCGAAGCAAATACACTATCAGATGTGCACAAAAACTACCTGGGCATGGTGGCACATGCCTGTAATCCCAACTATTTGAGAGACCCAACCTGGGCA